GGTACAGGAACCGCAAAATCTCTTATTGGTCCATAATTGCTATCGACATGTATGGCGCTGAAATGAATTCATTTGTCCTCCGAAAAGAATGATCTTGCTACCATGGTGCAATCATCAGAAATATATATTTCATTCTTTAAAATAGTAAAGATTTGCGAAATATTTTGGGCGTGAGATCTCTGCTGACCCAACCATGTTTTAACGCTCTTGCCAGCCCTCGGTTATTAGAGAGCTTTAGACCTAGATAACTCAAAATTGAGCGTGAATTTCAAAATGCTCTCCTGGAATCAATTAAAGCTAAGATTAATAAAGCGATCGCATTTGACCTCAAGCTCCTGTGGCGGCAAGCTTTTCTTCCTGGAAGCTGAATGTCATGGCATCGTTTTCAATGGGAGTCTATGGGATTCGGTTTGTTGATTCGGGAAGGAGATGTAACGGTCGTGAGGCACTGAAATTCTTCAAATAAGCGGGCTATTAGATCAATATTATGGCTCCCCGAGTGCAATTAAATTTGTGGAGTTTTAACTGAATTACAAAAATAAAACTTTTTTGCCCATTGAGTTACGCTGGGGCGCTGACATGACTGCCGAGAGATGGCGTAAGTTGCGAGCGGCGGCATGTCCCGGATTCTTGGGGTTGCGAACGAGCATACGGCGCCGATAGCAGGCCTTTTTAGCAGACGATCTTTTCGACTCAAAAGCGGCGCGCGTTCCGCAGGCGGCGACAGTCGCAGAAACAAAAAAGACAGGCGCGGTAACAGTATGGTGCCTGGAGCGCGTCTTCGACTGGTGTGTTTAGCGTCCTATCCCGCCCATACATCAAAAGTGGTCCCGATGTGGCAACAAATGACGCGAGTGTCATGCTGTTGCCTGTCGCGATCCTGGCGGTTGGCCGTAGAAATGCTGACAAAAAGCACGAGCGAACGCGAGTGTCGCTGTCGTCACAGCGTCCCTTTAGGCGTCCCAACTTCCGGCTGCACTAGATTCCGTGAACTGTCACAGTGGAAAGCGACCTTCCAGCAGAACAGGCATCTGCTACATACACCATAACTGTTGAGACGCCACCAGGGTCGCGACCGGCGACAGCATGACACTTTTATGACGTCATCAGGCGGAAATCGAGGGACCACTTTTTTGGCCGCGGTAAACACACCAGTCAAAGACGCGATCCAAGCACCATAGTAACAGCAAGGAACTGCTGTTCTTGTCTGCAAAAGGGCCGGCTCTCGGCGTCGTCTGCTCGTTCGTTGGCGGCAGTTGGCGTCGCGACCGCTTGCGCCATCTCTTGTCTCCCGTGCGAAACGGCGCCGTGTTATTTGCAGACCGGTGGTGTCGGTGCGTTTCCATAGGAGCTAAGCCTTTTTCTTTCTTTACTTTTTCCTCGGGTAAGTTCGCTCTTCGCAAATTTTACAAAAAAAAAAAGCACCATCTGTGGGCAACGCTGGGCAAAGCATAGAGTTATTATAATGTACGCTAGAGGTTCAACTGGCGCTAGTGTCTATGCGACTTACGTGACGCAAATTGAAGCAGACAGCAACCAGTCTACTTTTGCGGTGCCTCTGTGCATTCCTATGGGAAAACGCGCGTGCATTTTGCCTCTTCACCGAAAAATAACATGGCACACTTTGGTTATTTGGGTCGTACCGAATAGTATGTACCTTGATTAACACTGTAAAATTGTAATTGCTTTAGTTAGCGCATTTTTCTTCATCAGTGAACAATGTATAACTTCGCTACATTTCAGTCCCAAACGTGTGTTCCGCAGCAGGTGTGTAAAAACAAGCGACGATTCAAAGCAAAATTACAATCGAAAGGAATATAGAGTGTGTTCAAGGCTCACCAGCATTCTGGTGACACTTATATATTGATAATATGCTAGTCCTGACACTATATATAAATGACCCCGTCGTGCATGAGCGGATAAAAAACATTCAAACCGTAGAGAATAAAGTCCGTGGGCTATGACATTGTGTCTCTTCATATTGTTTTCTCTGCCGGGCAGCTTTTAGCGAGCACTTGATCTGAGATTTCGAGCGTGCGGGTGATATTTTGAACGTAGAACGAAACATACATCTTCGCTCAGAGCAGAAAGAATAGCGGTACTTACTTATTTAAAATTGGAATAGATTACGTGGCCTTCAATTTATTTTGATCGTACATGCACGGGTAGTTCCTGATCCAGTGTTGCTGCGTAGTTCTTGCCGTCTCCCTTAATTTCCAGATGTTCTCCGTTCGTTTGGCACGTATATCCTTCATGCTGAAAAGCGCTGACGTCGTGTTCGCGCTAACAGTGTCCGACAGTGCACATAAATACACGTACGAAGCCGTTTTAGCACCGTTTTTAAAGCGGCGAATTTGAAAGAAAAACGCCGTAACTGACCAATTATTTCGTCGGCCTCACTGAGAACTGTTCCAAGCTAACTAGTATGTACGAATTATTTGGGATATTTGCTCTTATGATCGAGCGCAGGAAGAAAATGCACTCACTTTTTTCCATACAAATGCATTACCGGAAGTCAATTTTGGACTGGTTGCTGTCTGCTTTAATTTGCGTCAGCACACTAGCGCCACTTCAACCTCTAGCGTACATTATAATAACTCTATGGGACAAAGTCGTAGCGCGATAGGTTAAGACATAGAGTTGTTATAATGTACGCTAGAGGTTCAACTGGCGCTAGTGTGCTGCTGCAAATTGAAGCAGACAGCAACCAGTCGGAAATTGACTTCCGGTAATGCTTTTCTATGGGAAAAAGCGAGTGCATTTTCTCGCTGCGCTCGGTTACAAGAGCAAATATCACAAATATTTCGTACGTACTAGGTACATTGGAACATTTCTCAGTCACGCAGACGAAATAATTGGTCAGTTACGGCGTTTTTATTTGAAATTCGTCGCATGAAAAACGGTGCTAAAACCGTTTCGTACATGTATTTGTGTGCACTGCCGGACACTGTTAGCGCGAACACGGCATCGGCGCTTTCCGCCATGGGGATATACGTGTCAAACGAACGAAGGACATGTGGAGGACCAAGAGAGACGGCAAAAACTACGCAGTAACACTGGATAAGCAACTCCTTTCGCATGCAGGCGATCAAAATAAATTGAAAGCCACGTAATATAGTCCGATTTGCAATAAATAAGTACTGCTTCATTTTTTCTGCCCGTGAATATGTGCGAAGATGCATGTGCTGGGTTCAAATCATCAACAACACGCCCCAAATATTTACAAATAGGGAAAAGTCAGAGAACAGGTGCCCGATAAAAACTGCCTGACATAGGAAATAATAAAAAGGCACACCTTTCGTAGCCCTCGTGCTTTATTTTTTTACATTCGAATGTTCTTTAACCGATCGTAAAGATTCACGACGGAATCATATTCATAGAGTGACAGGTCGGGCATATTAGCAATATATAACCGGCACCGGAATCCTAGCGAACCTTGAATACACTCTGCATTCCTTTCGATCGTTAGCTCAGAATCGTCGCTCGTTTTTACATACCTGCCATGGAGCAGAGGTTTGGGCCTGAAATATTGCGAAGCGTAACATCGTTCAATGGCAAAGAAAAATGCTGCTATTAAAGCAATTACACTTTTACAATATTAACAAAGGTACATACTATCCGGTACAACCGAAATAATAAAAGTTTTTTATGTTATTTTCCGGCGAAGAGACAAAATTCACGCGCGTTTTCCCGTAGGAATGCACAGGAGCACCGCAAAAGTTGACTGGTTGTCTGCTTCAATTCGCCTCCCGGAAGTCGCATAGACACTAGCGCCAGTTCAACCTCTAGCATACATTATAATAACTCTATGCGTTAAGAAACCGAATTTTCCGGTCGATTTAAAGAGCCTGGCGTCTCCTTGTTTCATCCTGTATAATAGTAATACACCTTTCAAGCTTGACCTTCTCAATGGATCAGATCATCAACATAAACTATTACTATACAGGCACCTCGCAACATACTTTTCCAAACTTCTCCGTTACAGTTGGCAATAAACTATTGGAATAAACTACCTGCCGTGCCGATATCATAGCTCCTAATAACTTTGACGAATTCAAGAATGCGTGCGCTTTGTACTTTATGAATTGATGTGTATTTGTGTTCTAGGGTTCCTGGTATCTTCATTTTTGTACTTTGCCACAGTGTTTGTACGCGTATGTTTATGTGCCGCGTGTTTTTGTTATTTTTATTTTTGTACTTGACCGGAATGTTTTGTAGGCATTTTTTACTTTGCCATAGCATTTCTTTTTACGCGCTTTTACTTTTTGTTTACTCTCAATTTGTTGAATTCCCCCTCCCCCCCCCCCCCTCATGTATACCCTAGTAGGGCGCTTGTGAGGTACGAATAAATGAAACTAAATGAATGTTGGGGAACGTCGAGCAGTGTAGCAGGATGTGAGTAAATGCCTCTTTGTTGAAGCACTTAACCGCACACTGAACTCAGAAATTCCATTTAGGGCACATATGTAACAAAATGAGCTTTCTCTACCAAAAACAAATGTGTATAGTATTTCCATTGCTAGACTCATTCGAGCGATATGAAAACATGCTTTGATATCGGGGTCGACGCCCCGACATGGAAACATGTAATTAAAATTATACTCGCCACGTAAACGTTGCGGCGTAAAATTTCAAAGATTTATTTTGTGACATACATGTCATATTTCGGCATGGCTACCAACTTAAAATTTATCTAGCCACCTAAAGATTGCGCTCAAATCAAATTTTAGTTGGAAAAGGTTTGTATTTGTCATACCTTTCCTTCACCAATTTTTTTGTTTTGCAGGGGAAAAAGGGGGCGGGGGGGGGGGGGGGGGAAGGGGGGGGTTAGTGTCTTTTTAATGCAACCAGGGTTTTCATGGTTCAGATAACTCGATTATGTTTATGAAGCAATCCAAATAGCCAGCCGTCTCGATGTACGAACTGAGTAGAGCTATTATGTTCACATAAGAATTAACTACATTTCTTTCTACCAAAGATTAGAAAAAGCGACACAATAATGAACATATTAAGGGCATAGAGTTGGCCTTTATTACACGGATACACACATAGTCACAAAGTAACGCCCATAAAACGAAGGGAAAATAACTCAACACTAAAAACAAGCTGGTTCAAGGAATGATGTCTCTTCTAAAGGAAATATCGGTGATGTGACGTTGCGGCAGTGGGCAGCTGAATCAAACGCACTTCGGTATGCGTCGCCTGTTACAACGACCGCGCTTGACATGGGCAAACCGTTCGTCTTGAAGCGCAATGCCCTTGTGGCCTATGTACAGAGCGCCGAAGGCAAACGGTTCAGTGAAGACTAGGAATGCCGCGTACGTTCGTCGAACCCGAGGATCGACTGGTTCGACGAAGTTCGACCTATGGACGGGGTTGCCAGACTTCTACACAGAAATGTAATAATTTTGAAAAAAGTGCTTTATTTGAAGTATAAGAAAATGATGACCAATGTTTACACAATATAAAAGTAAAAACATGTTTTATACTTCGTTTTAAGTCTAGACGCAGCTGACGCTACGAGGTGATGGGAACAAACAGGCAGCGCCAAAGGCCCACCATCATGGTGTTCGATATGTTTCTGGATGTGTTCTGTCATCGCTGAACCAATCATAAACAGAAAAAGGCCTAGTGACTTGCACTTTTGGCGCTGCTTGACTGGTACCATTACCTCGTAGGGTCGGCTGCGCCTTGACTTCAGCTGAAAGTATGCATAGTTAGCTCATTACAGCGACACAATAACACAATGTACACAACAAATATTGCACTCCTCAGTTGACGTTAGCTCGTTTTTCATTTCCGATGATGCGCATAATTGTTGAACTTCAGTCGAACTTTGACGAACAAAGTCGAACAAAGTCGCGAGCTCGAACCTCGTCAGTCTCGCGACATTCCCATTGAGGACTTGGTCTGATTGTGTCAACAGTAGATAAAACAGTTATGTTTGGGGCCCGTGTTTCGTGGCTTCTATGAGAACGCTCTACCGTCAGGACCAGGGTGTTCTTGTTATATGTACGAGAAGATGATCTGCGAATGGGCTTTGAGAGTTATTTTTTGCACACGTGTGCACATGTACAGGCGCACCTTTTTTTTTTTTTTTTTTTGCTACTGCAGTCTATATATACGTTGGGTGGCTTCAGCTGCTGCATATTTGAGCGAGCTAGAATAGAGAGTCACTAATTTTTGTTTTGTTTTAGGAAAATAGGCGCTGTATATTGAACTCTGAGGCCTTGCATATTTAAGTGAACATTGACACCCGTGGCGGTGAGGAAGCGACCTGATTTGGCACGTGAGGCGATTCTCCCTGTGTACCGACAGTTAAAACCTGTTTGTGCGCGCGCTGTACATTCCCCGCAACGACTGGCTGGGCTGCTTTTCGCTGGAGTCTACTTGGAGTCTTGCCGGATGGTGCAGAAGAGGCACAAAGAGATGATCATCACGATTATCTGAAACAAAAAAGTTCAAAATGCGCGTTGAGTTTGATGTTGTCACACCTCGCGAGTCAGTTGTTTTTGTTACACAGCGGCAACCTATTTTCAAGTGGCACGCAGAGCCACTATATGGTAACTTGCAGACTGTCGGTGGCTGTAGACACTTCTCGGTTTACGAGCTTGAACGGTTGCGTAGGACAACATGATCCTCACACCCGATGGGCATAGTGGAAGACAGTCGAGCGGCTCGTCCACATGGGCGCAGAAAATCTAATTAGAAAACAAAGCAGGGCTACAACGGAGATGGAAGGTTTGCGTGTAGGCCACTAATATAACTGCGATGGAGTAATGGGGCTTTGGGTTGAGCTATAGATGGAGCATGATGGAGATGGAGCGTTGTCGGCGGCCGAGGGTGTGTAGATAGTAATCAACTACCAAGGCAATTCCACTAGATTCAATTTGCTTTGGTGGACAATAATTTCAGTTTGTTTTATTGCCTTAGGTTCCGCAGAGCCGTGGTCAATACCAGCGAAAATCTCCAGTCACAAGGTGATTTACCCCGCGCATTTCCGAACGCTAATGCCTCCATATTCCGCCCCAAATAGTGGGGTAACGAAATGTGGTTCTAGTTCTACTTGCTTGCTCAAAGGCCACTAAATCGCTTCCCTAAGTTACTGCTACAAGAAACACTCTTCACAGGGCATTAAGTGGCAGCTTTGAACATTGCCAGCATTATGTTTTTATCGTCCACTTACGTTGCGCATACTGAGAATGCCGTCTCGAGAGAGAAGAAAACACACGGCAACCCTCAGTGGAAACGACCTGTTTACTGCGTACACAATCCTTCCGAAATAGTGCGTACCGCCCCTATTCGCGACAGATGGCGCTGTCAGCGACTGGAACTATACTCCGTTTCACCGCACGATGGACCATAGCGAACGTTGCTAGCCATACTTGCCAATCGAGCGCTGTGAACATGTCATGTAACTACGCGCCCAGCAAGTCATTGCGCCCCTCCCGAAGGTCACGTGATATTCACACGGCATCGCATTGGTTCCGATGGCTCGTAGCGCCCTCTATACGGTCCGTCGTAAGGTGAAACAGATGTAGGCTATTTTTGTTTTGATCGCTAGATCCACCGCTGCGTTCTTCGCGTCGGCCGTACGTCTTTTTCATTGCTCCTCGGTGGGGTTCCAGAGGCCAAGGACACCAGGTTCCTTCCCCCCCAGGGGAAAAAACCTGATTTGTTGTATGCAGGGAAAGTTAGAGAGTAGGGTCGTAACTTTCACGATTGTCCGAGGTAGTGTACTCGGTCGAAATATAAAGCATTTTATTCTGTTTTTTTACTGTTAAACGAGGCATTGATACACGTCCGCTTTCATTGCGTAGGTTTTGGAAGGAGAAAGAGTGGACGTGATTGAAATCTTTAAAAAAGACTAAATGACCCCGCGTTCAACTTTTACGACTCCATGGAAAGATCGCCGACCTTCGATATTTACGACAATATTTCCATGAAAACGGTTTTGCGCCGGTTGTGAACTGAAGAGGGAACACGTTTGAGCTACTGGGTTTAGTTGAAGGCAGTATTTTGCACGTTTACGCTGAAAATGATTTACTACATTACTTCTGGCCGCCAAAGTCAACTGAACTCTATTTGCAGATTGCTGGGACTTATTATTTTAGACCACGCGATTTTGTCTTATAGTGGCTGGTTTGCCAGATACAATCCGACTTCCGTGAAAGTGTTCACTAAGAAGCCATAAAAAAAAAGGTATCTAGAGATAAGGTGGCCCAAAATTATTTTCGTACATGGCTGAAGCGCGCATACGGCTAAAATTTTGGCATGCAAGCGGTCGTCTAGATTATGAAAACAAGAACCGTCTGGCTCGCGTGGGACAGATAAAAGTCTAACTCGTTCATATCAGTTGTAAATAAATACGAGACTGAGTTTTATGCATAGAGTTGCTGCATGAAATACCCAGTGAACTAGAGCCTCTCGTTGGACCAGACAGCAGCAGCTTTTCTTGGTGTCACAAATTATTTGTTGTTTAAGAATATTTTCGTCAAGCAGACATTTTAAACTTTCTGTGCACACAGTAAACACGCGTACATTTCACTGAACACTAGGAGTGACTTAAAAGAGATAACTCGCTATAGGGATTAGGCTCACCTGGACAAAGCCGAGCGCAAGGCCCAGGCCTCCCACCACGGCACCGGTGCGCTCCAGCACCACTCGCAAATTTTCGCTACAACCCTGTGGAGAGTAAAGACACGGAGCTCAACGTGGAATTGATAATCAATAATTTATGTGAGCTGTTCACTATTTAGGATGCGTGAAAACGAATGAGATTGAGCGCGAAGAACTGAATCAGCTCCAGTGGACAAGCAACACGATTAGTCATCGACTGCGTAGAACATCGGCATTGTTAAAACCACACGGTCGTATACTTCTCACTATGGCGACTTCAGACTAAAGTGGAAGTCGCATTGTATTGGGCTTGCACATGACGTCGTTTCCGATGCCCTCCAGAGAAAAGGGGAAGAGGGAGCTCCCCTCTTGTCAGGATCCTCCTTTGTGTCCCCCGGATAAGCACAGACGTCGCTGTTCTCCTCCCAGAAGATTATAGAAGATTAACCTGTCACTCAAAATTCTTACAAAAGCAGCTTCCCTCTCCCCCTTTTACATGGTGTTCAAAAGTATGCGATGTGACGTCAGTGCAAGGAGCCTATATACTTACGTAGTAGAAGATGTTGTTGGTTCTGGAGCTGCTGCATGACTGTGGTATGGTTAGCGAGCGGACCTCGTAGTCGACCTTTGAGGTGGCGCCGCAACACTCCAGCTGTAATCAGTGAGGCACAAATACGTCATCAAGCGTATTTATTTTTATGTTTCATTCGAATGATGTGACCGATCCGCACCTTACCATCAGGTAACCGAGCTGTAGCATTCTTAGACTTGAATGGTTGTTTTCTCATTTCTAAATTGTATTATGTTTCTATAGTCGTCTTACGCTTTCTAGCACAAAGTAACCTGCTGAAGTGATCAGTCAGGCTAGCCAGGACATTCTTTTTCCACTCACTCATTTTTGAAATGATTGGCCGTTATCGGCTGCATTGCTTATGGTGTGAATCTTCAAGGTCTAAATCTCAAACGAAATTCCCTCGCTTCAAGGGAGGACATCATCTCAGACACCCTATTCCAAAGTGTATTGAAGCTATGCATTATATATTATGGCATAAATTCGTCTTATGGGATGCCCCAGCAAGAAAACGCCTCGTGATAGCATATATTTTAATTAAATTCCTTTTGTGTGAAGTATTTAGAATGTAGTCTTTGAAATAAGTGACTTGGAATGAAGTGTGGTAAAGCCGTCGTAAACCCTTGACACATAATTCCATCAGTGAAATATCATAACTCGCTGGTGATATTGTGAGAGTTTTGAGAGGTCTGCGATGGAAGTTTGTTGGTTTTTGTTGAAAATAGATCCTCCTTGTTCTACGCCTTGCTAGTAATCGCCCTGCGAGCTTAGTTATGTAGACGTAGAAGCTATGGCGATTAACCCAGCCTTCATATATTCCGATTCCTTAGACAGGGTGCCCTGTTTTATTGACTTATTCCAGGTTAGACTCAACTTTGAAGGTGATACTGTTGGACACACTTACGTGAACTTGCATCAAGTCCATGAACCTCCTGGCTTTTGAGTCCTCTATTATGGTGTCCATCTTCTGCCCTATGCTTTCTGCCAGTTTTTGTTGCAACTGTCAAGAGAATATGCATTGTTGAAGCTTGTGATTTCATAATTGTATTTAATATATTATACATCACATTATTTCCTTGAGTTTTAAGTAGCGGGTCCCACAATGTAAACACATTCTTTACTTCATAAAAAAAAAAAAAACTTTTTAATGGCGATCAGTAACTCAATGGCCCTCCATTGTCAAATCAGACAGTCTCAGTAACTTGCCCGAGGGCACTTCACTCCTGTTAAAGAAAATCTTCGTGTAGGTCACTTTAAGTATTGCCACAAGATACAGTATAAAAGATATAGCAACAGAGTGCATAACCATTTGTTTTATTTTCTGGAAAAGGTGCACATATAACCCGCCTCCTTGGTTTGGTATCATTAGATGTTGAATTTGGCAAGTTGCCTATCTGAGAAAGCGGTTACTCGGCATTCGCGGTCTACCAGTCTCGCTTGCCTCCCAGCGAGGAGAAAAACTATTTTTATCGATTATTTACGCTTTAGCAGTAGCGATAGCCGATAAACTTTGTTGGCATTCTGGGAACCAAGGTCTCCGTGAACGCAAATTGTTTTCTACATCTTCATGCAAAATTGGTCGCTTGCTCGTGCACTGGCAAGCAGCCTTTACCGAGCCCTAATACAGACAACAACATAGTCGACTGTCTTAGCTCTCGCTTAACGTCCTAGCTGGCCAAACAAGCATCTGATATCTCAATGGTTTGTGACGTTGAGAAGGTTCAAAAGTTACCTGGTCTCCGTCAGCTATCTTCCAAACCAGGCCGGCCACGGCACACTCCAGGATGAGCAGCACAAACATGGCGATGAAGTACTACAAAGATGCAAAAATATTCTCGCGTGAGCATCGCATACCGGAACTGCGACAGGCCAGAATATAACGTTATGGTGAATGTCCAGTGTCAGTCTAGGAAGACAAATACGGGGCACAGATTGGATCTGATCGTCGCGTCAGTGCTCGGCTTGGATTCGTGTCCAATCAGTGAGAACACGAGTCCCAGCCGAGCGCTGACGCAGCACTTGGGCCCAATTCGTAGTCCGCGTCGGCCTTCTTGAGGGGAAGTCTACAATTCAGCGCGATAAGTCTTTGTTACCTAGGAAGTGTATTATGATTTTTTCTTCCTCTCTCTTAAATCAGAAGGGTCATTGCATTCGATTAGCGCGTCATCCGCGTGGATACCTGTGAACGCAGGAACGACCGACGGTGGCCATGTATTTAAGTTGCCCGCAGCCGCTCAGGTCAGACATGTGGACGACTGGGAGCATTCGGCAGTTCTCTTGTCCAGGGTATAGGTCAACGCGTTGTTTACAGACAGGTTAGAGTTTGCCCGCGCCAGGTGTGGGCAGTGCTCATGCACAGAAACCAAATTCGCGTGAAGCGAAACTTCTGCGCATGCGCCATGTCGACAGCAGCGCCACCTCAGTGGCGTGACGTTGAAGCTGCGTGTTTGTGTACAGACCAGAGAGAAGTGTCAAACCCCCTCGGTACACGTTTACGCACACTCTTCCCAGAGCCTGCAGTGTCGTGCTGTATATAGTGGTCCAGCCTGTGTTAGTCAATAGAAAACTACGATCAAAGTATCGGCACTCTCATTCCCCACTGTTCGACGCCACCACGGCTCAATTCCGTATTTGTTACGTGACGTTTCGTTTACGTGGCAGCGGGTTTTAGGCCCCGCCATTGTGGTGCCTAGAAGCGCATACGGGCCCCATTTGCGACGGTTATGGTCCTGAAACGCGATTTTTTGAACGGTGGATATACGGTGTTATGAGACCACTGCGGTATAGTTTCGCTCCGTCGCGAACTGTAGCATTAAGCAGAACGACGGAGTACATGTCTCGCATTTTCCGCCAGGCACGTCGCGAGAAGCTGGTGATAGCTGGAAACGCTCATTTTACGCAACAGTATACATGCCTACGGTGCCTGGAACGGATCTTGAACTACCGAGTTAACCATCTATGAGGCCCAAAGCATCAAAAGTGGTTTCCAAAGTGACAACGGATTGCGTCACAGAAGTCGGCATGTCACGCTGGTGGATGTCGCAATCCTGACCGATGATAGTAAAAATGCTGGCGAAAAAAAAAGAAAAAAAGAAGAGCGAGCGGACGCAAGCTATAGGGTTGCTGTCGTTGCGGCGTTCCATCTCGCGTCTGCTTTGGTTTCCGTCGACTGCCTTGCTGCAGAGTGACCTACAGTAAAATAGGAGTCTGCCTCATCCTCCTCCTCAGATGTACCACCGCCAGGGTCGCGGCAGGCAGCAACATGACACTTTTATGGCGTCATCAGGCGGAAACGGAGGGGCCACTTTTTTGAGGACGCGGTAAACGCACCAGTCTACGACGCGCTAAAGTCACCACAATGTGACTGAAGTATCATTTCTGCAAGGCGCAGCTTTCGGACTGGATCTAGTCCACGGCCTCACCGTGAGCAGCATGCAGGGGCTGTCGATGGCCGCCGCACAGCAGCCCATGAATCCGAGCACGAGAAGAAGGACCCCGACGGCTATGATGACGTAGCAGGCGCTGTAGTAGTTGGACAGCGGCAGGTTGTCCTGGTACACCCAGAAGTCCGGATCCGACCTGATCCAGATGCCCACGGCCAGCACTCCCAGGCCGAGCATCTGCGAGCGAAAGTCTTGTCGTCAGCCGGTGCGCTGCTCTGGAAACCAAATCAAACTGTCGTCGCCGACAGGATAAGAATAGCAGGGACTCTCTCGCTAATGCCCGACTTCTAGCATGCGCTTGTTCCCTTCGGCCATGCTTTGTGGCTGGTGGACGTTCGAAGCTTAAGTGTCGCCGAAGTGTTACCGAAAATAGAAAGCTCTGTCGGAGACTACACATGGGTTGCGCGTGACACCATTGTACCGCGCTACTGGTCATTCGTACTGATTTTTACAGAAATAAAAAAAAAAAAAGCTCCGTGGCGCGAATTGTATGGTTGAGGAGGTACGTACTCAGCAGCAAAGCCACTACAATGGACACTTTTGTTGAGTGAATGCAAGCTACAAATAAAACTCACTTCTCCAAAGCTAAAAAAAAAAAAAGAACACAAGCAAAAGTTGAGCTTGTCATCTTTACAGCCCAGCGCACGCGTGTCCGTGGCTTCCGAAAGCTAGCAATGTTGCAAGCGATATACATACAAATTCTGAAGATGACTTCCGCCAGAAGCACTTGATTAGATAAGAACGGTTTTTATTTGAATCCGTTCGGTCTATGGGAGCACCCCGTACCATATTACAGCGAGGCAAGTTCGCATGCTCACAAGTTAGATACAAGGAGTACTATAAAGCAACCTTTCTGGATATAATGCCACCGTCAGTTTCGTATTCATTTGTGTCGGAGCCTTATAAAACACATTTCATGTTCCATACGGTGCCAGCTAAACTAGTCACGCTTCGTCAAAAATTTGCTCGATTTTGGTTGCAGCAAGTTAACTGTTATAGTGCATGAGTTTACGCATTCCCGTGGAAGTCCGTTTTACACTGCCAAAGGGACCCTTTCTTGCTGTAGGAGTTAATAGGCAACCAAGTTACAGACATATAAAAAACAAAACAAGAAAGAGTGGCAAGGCCCTTTGACTAATTGCGATTGCGATCATCAAAAAAGCGAAAGAAATATACAATAATACCATCTCATTATATTATGAAACGAAGCGAAACGTGTTTCGTAATTACAATGCTGAACACACAATGCAAGGTCCTTGTGTCTACCAACAATGCGGTAAGAAAGATACAAAATACAATTGCAACACGCTATTTAAATAAAAAGGCCAAAATAAAATTTGAAAAAAATTAAAAGTCACAAGCAAGGAAAGAAGAAAAGGCCAGAAATTATAGTTTTGCGCAGGAAGATGGACAGAGAACGGCTGAATGAATTAAGAAAATTGTATGTCTGTAAGTGTCGCTAGCTGGAAGGAATTGAAATATTATTGATTGATTTACGTATTTATTTTTTATTTATTTATAACATGTTGCTTAAATTTCCCCAAAAGGGGAAATTAAAAAAAAATGGAGATATAGACAAAAAAAAAAAAAAAAGCACAAGACAAGGAGGCACGAAAATCAAAATCAAGTACTATACTAATGTTTTAAACAGAGGAAAGAATTCAACAATAGAATAGACGAGTGTCCGAAATCCTTGACCCCAGCGACAAAATGGCGAATAATAATCTCAAACGCACACTATTGGAAAATGAATGGCTGTGCATGGGGAAACAAGCTTTTTGCTTTTTACAGCACTTTTAGCATCGGTGTCTTTTTTTTTTTTCTTTATTGATTAGTATCGGTGTCGTTCTTGAATCTTCGTGACTAAGCATTTGTGACATTCTTGCGTTACGATATGTGCGAACGTTTGGATTCTTGCAATAAGCACAGTACCCCTCCTATTAGGGTGAATAATAGTACGCATGGACATCTACCCCCTTTTCCCGTATCTCAACACTCCCCCCCCCGCACAGTCCCCTATACTCTGTCATGGCGTCAGCATAAGAAAAACACGGCGGCGCCCATGGAATGGAGCAGACAAAGGTCTATACTCGCAATACGTATAAAGCATAGTAATACATATGATTGCATGCAGTTAATCTTTGGGAAAACGAGTTTTATTTGTCGCAGGAACAAACGCGAATGTGAATGAAAGCTTCCAAAAATAAAGCAACGTAAGAAATACGTGTTGAGTAGTAAATTGAATCGATGAATTTTATGTCTGGTTGTTAACAAACATAAATGCTAGTAGTGCTTTAGGGTATTGAGGTACGCGCAACTTGAGTGCCTTCTCACCTTATTAATGAAGGGCATTGCCAAATTACCGTATTCGGAGCCCTTTCTCTACTTTGTACGTTAATCCATAGGGAGATAAGCAACAAAAAAAAATTTAATGGAAACGAAACAACGGTAAAGTATATGCAAGTATTTTTTTGTTAAACAGATGACATGCCGAAGTTTATGACGAATTTATTTTCATTGGCATTCTTACGTAATGTACGAGTGGAAAGTCACGTTCACCGTACACTTTTGAAAATCTAATCGCGTCCTGAGATTCGTCAATCGCCGAGACATTTTTTTTTTTTTTTTTGTGCCACGATTGCTTTTTTGTGTTTTGCGGGAAAGCGAACTCATGGGCCTCCTTTTTGTTCAAAGTGCATACGGGCTCTCTCCATTATGCCCCTCCTGTCTTTTCATTGGTGCATGCTGCTAACCGTTAATTAAAAGGCTTTCCTTTCACGGCCTCGAGCGAACAACGGTGTACAGTTCGAGTGTTGTTGGCGTCAGCACGCAGGTGTGCCTCAGAGTCCAACGCCCACGTGATGACGCGCCCCGACCGATAACGCGGATACGCGAATTCCTTTCCGAGCACGCCGTCGACGTGCCTTGCGCGTGTCTCACTTCCGCCACCTCGGAACGTGTTTTCATAAGTTTTACTAAAACAACGGAGCGTCATAGAACGTGAAACTAAGGTGCATGTCTGTTTAACCAACGTCATGGCATAAATCAAAATTGGCGGAGGTATATTTTGTTCGGAGTCTGGTTCCTATCTCGTTAATTCAGCTCTAGAGAGATTCGCATTTATTCTGAGTCTAGCGGTTGCTCAGCTGGTTCAATATAAAACAACTAAATGGTGAGAAGCGAAGCAACAACATAGTTGAATGTATTTTTAAATGATGCCGAATATTTCGAGATTTTCCCCTTAACTGCTATTGTAATGTGACCTTCTCGAAAATAGACAGCGGCTCCGTGACATGCAGAAAATACGTTTTGGGGCATATGTGTCACATGCGGCGAAGTCTTAACGTTCGAACTCCTGTATTTATTTACATATTTAGTGCAGCACCCAGATTATGCCATCAAAAACTACTAGAGAGATGAATGCATGTGCTCGTTGTGGGCCAAATATTGAATGGTAGAATTTTTACTCTGCTCGCTATTTTGTATCAGCGAAAATTAAAAAAAAGTACAAATACCAGGTTGAAACTGCGTCACACATTGACGTAAAATATTCTATCCACGGTAATTTCCACAAGCTATTTGACTTATTCTAGCAGAAACAATGATCGTCCTGTCATTTCACACCTCCGCGATTATTGATGTTGCTAAGCAAATTAGGTTTTTCAGGTGGAGGAGCATTCCAGCGACCATTACCATTCAAAACGTCTGCCGCAGTACGCATAGTCATCTCATCTATTTCCGCGCTTACACTCGTTTTTAGATCAAGACCCGCTGTTTACCTATTTTATGGTAATATACAAGCTTCATACAGAAAGAAACGTCGTTATTTTTATCCAGAAAACATACTCTTCCAAGAACCACTAGGAACCGCGTATAAACTATGCAAAAATTTAGATTTTTTTCTTCTTGATATGACAAGGTTCATAGTAACCAGTGGCCAGGCAGGTTACCGGTTCGTTTCCTGAATAGCGCCGCGTGATTCGCGGTGTGAAGTAGCGCTCTAGCGAACGTATAGACTTTAAATGCAAGATTCAAAAAAGAACAAACACGTATTAGTTTCGTTGGCAAATTAATTCACTAGATTCGCTGGCAAAGTGCATGTTTAACAGATTTATATTATTGCACTGTGCCATGAAATGAAAGTGCAGTACTTGCTCACACGAAGTTGTAAACATTATCGAGTACTGATAATAGAAACGTTTCAACAGTTTAACTGCAAAGCTAACATTTCAACGGGGGCCTTCTATGTATGTCCTCTCGAGATACAATATAAATTTCTCATGTGTTATTTCTTCTGCATCTCTTTGGCGAGCCGAGGTACACAAACAAGAGAACGCGAATCGCGCTAAGCCTAACGTGGAGGTTCTTTCGAACCGTTTCAGGTGAAGCCTCGAAACTCACCCAGACGAGCAGGTTACATGTGATGAGAATGTACTTGACGCACGCTATTCCTTCATCCATGATGACTTCCGATGTTTTGCGGTCACTTGCAGAACGAAATGTGCACGTCGCAAGAGGCTACGATCTCCGATGAACGTTGAACGCACAAAAGGGCGGTGGTCCGCTGTCTTGTTCCTGCTGCTATCTCCCGCGCCTGAGGCACGTCGAGGTATCCTTCTTTTTTATGTTTTCTTTTTTTGTTTGTTCGGTTATCGCTGGGTTACAAAGTGCGCTCGCTTCCCCGACTCGATGTTTGCTCGCGGGTCCCAACGGTCGTTCTGACGCTACGTAGACCGCGGAGACGCGACTGCTGAGCCCGTGTGCCTCGGGCCGATGAAGTCATCGAGCCCACAAAGCCCAATCACTGAGTCAGATCCGTCAGTTGTCTTGGCGGCTGAATGTTGACGACAGAGCCACCGTTACCTCCACTGCTGTTTTTGTCACCAACGCTCCCTGACTGCATACATAGGTTCCGCGGATTGACAGACATTCATGGTTGTAAGGTTGTTTTCAGTTGATTTCGTGCGACGGATCAACGTTGTTGTTCAGCGTTTTTACTTTTCAATGAGAGCAGCGCTCTGGTGATTTTTTTTTTTAATTCTGCGATTTAGTATAGGTTACTACAGCAACAAAAACACAGCAATATCCTGGAAATGCAGCAAAAACGAGCAAAGAAAATAAAGGGACAAGATGCAACAAATAAGAATTCAACATATTTTACACAGGCGTATATTAAGGCGACCTTAGCAATTGCTGAAATAAAGTCATAGCTTAAAAGCATACGTTTAAGCTCATCGATATTATTCCAGATATACACTATGCGCGGAAAATGCTTCTAAAACAATTAATACTTGTTCAAATAGAATATCGTTCAAAGGGCGAGATGCTTCAGTGATAAGTAACTTTGTATCGAGAAAAAAAAAACATTATAAGTTAACCTTAACGGTTCTCTGCATAAATATAAACAGAACAACCAGTGGTGGCAAACATTTTGATAAGTGTTTAAACCTTCTGATTGGTGAAGACGCTCCTGCATACATTTTATTGAATTTCGAAGTTGGTCATATCCCACATCTGTTTTTCTGACTTTTTTTTTTCTTTTGACGCGTTAGTTGCTAATTTTATACTTCGGAAGCAAGGCGTTCAATAGTAAGAAACCCTCGACTCTCGGTGCCTTGTTCTTAGGGCTGGCAGATATCTTCCTCTACCGTTGGTACTCATCACTAGAAGCCTGTCTTGGGATTCTTACTTTCTGATTTATACTCCACGAGTGTGGCATAAATGGCACATCTAATCCATGGAAGGTTCTGCACAAAAATGCCGGTCTTCATCTTTGTCCTTTGCTGTTGCGAACCCGCACAATTTTTTATTTATTTAACAAAATTGTTAGCAATCAACGGAAGACCATTCATGGAGGGGTAAAAATGAGGTATAAAACAGTCGCAGCTAAGCTATAATTTCTTACTTATGGCACATTCAGATCGCAGATTTAGAGCGATCCAAGACTGCTCCATGCTCGCGCGTTTAGAGCGGTAAATGCTAGCTCGCGTTTGCACGGGCTAAAAAATAACAAGAAAAAAAAAGCGCTCCGTAACCGCGACAAATCTATCAGTGGAATTTGCTATAAAACACACGAATATGGCAAAATAAAACCATCATACAGTCGCTACAAAAAATGCACATTGCACATTCTCAGAACAACACCAATATACCGTCCCGTGTTGCTATTTGCACTAATTCTTATTACTGAGAAAACTGCTATACCAGAGAAAGCGCAAACTGAGTCAACTGTTCAATTGTTTATATATAAAAGAAAACGAGTTAGGCGCGGGTTGTACTTGTGGCGCCATCTTTTGTTGGATCCAGCAAACAAAAGACGCCACTCGAGTGAAAAAGCAGGCCGCGCCGTTGCCTGCTTGCAGCAACTATCAGCAGAGAGCGCCACATGCACGATCCTAAGTCATCTCTATCACCTCTGTCGACATTCGCAATTGAAAATGTCAAGGGGGTTGGTCTAATGTTTCACACGAAGAGAGCTGCGCCTTGAAATTTCATGAGGTAAAATGCACTACTAAAATATGCATTTGGTGAGAGCTTGAGCTCATAAGGTGGAGGTGCCGCGATGTTTAGGGCAAATATAACATCGAGTCCCTGATTTTATACCGCCTTCATAGCTTCACAATTCAAAACACATTCACAGCAGTTTAGAATAAAGTTTTGATTGCCTGTTATAAAATAAGGAAAGAGCCTTAACCGCCCAGCCGTCTAGCTTCCAATGGCTGAAAATCATACTAGTTCAAGATTCTGTAGTCAAGGAACCTGTCCATTTTTACTTGGAAATAATAAAACTCGTTTGGTGCTAGTCGTATGGAACCTGTTTATTTTTGCTTGGAAATAATAAAACGCGTTTTCGTTCATGTTTCAGCAGCTAAACGTCCGTCGGCGGTTTAGCGTGCATCTCACCAATTGGAAGTGAAAGATTGCATTTGAGTAGTTGTATGCTTCCGGGTTGATAAACATGATAAAGTTATAGCAACTTGGGTACCTAAGTCACGGGCACATCTGCTTCATGAGGACATAAAACAGATTACTACGCCTGAAGAAAAAAAAATAGGGTATTCACGTATGACGTGTATCTAATTTTTCGCAGAAGAAGCGGAAGTGGAAAAAATACAGCGTAATTGACCAGCCGGAGCGGCACCAATTTTTATATGGCGGTACTCTAATTCTCATGCAGCCTCGTGGAGGAACAAGAAACGCTTCGGCCATAATCTTGAGATGACAATTTTATTAGTTTACGGCATCAACCCAATTTTCTCAAAAAAGCGTAAAATAAATCGACTGTACTCCTATAAAGGTTACGGCTGAGCACAGGCTAAAACTTTTTAAAGATCTCATAACTGATTGCTTCGAATCCCTTAATCATTCGCTTAATCTATTTAACGTCTTATTTGAAGGTACTGTGAAATTAAAACATTGCACATTTAGAGTCACAATTGATGGGATTTGCAGTGTGGGAGGCGTTACCGAAAAGAAAGTGGCAAAACACGTTACACGTTACTTGCAAATACAAGAAATGCGTTACCGACCTACTTTACATCAAAATAAACGGAACGTGTTACCTTTACCGTTACCGCTAAAAAGTAACGCACGTTATTGTTTTTAATTATGAATTAGCACGTTTACTGTTTGGCGTTACAGGTATGCATAAGCGCCATTTCTGAAGAAACGTACATCAAGAAACTGAACATATATACACCTTATCCTTTATACGTTGGCACCCAAATACTCAAATAAAAAAAAAAAAACACACAAAGAAAGACGAAAAAAAAACAACTAACAAACAATTATATGGCTTGGCGCCTAGAAACGTGACAAATTGAAATGTAATTTTTTTTTTAATTATGGGACAAATAGGGTAACTAGTGACCTAACTACGCTACACGTTACTCGAAACAATTGTAACATAAGTACGCTATTTGTCACCGTTTTGAAAATGTAACGAGTGCGTTACAGCGTTACTGGAAATACCGGTAACGCCGTTGCTTGTAACGCGTTTCCGCCGACATTGAATTGGCAAAGGCCTAGCGATGCAGGGACGGTACGTTCTAAGGAAGTAATTTCAATGCAGATATTGTTTCATATGCATCTGAATACCGCTAGTGGCAGGATTATACTAGAAAACAGAAAACATCGCAAACATTTCGTTTACCCACGTCAGTTTTCCAGCCACTAAGTACTATAAAAGTATTTGAGAAGTGTGAAATGGGTTTAGTTTGTCTATGCATATTCATTTCATAAAAATATTAAACAGTAGACCACAACAAAAAGAAGCGGGATGGTGGTGCCGATCCCTGAGTACTCTGGGCACTAGAAGCTAAGCAATTGTAATATTGAATAGCTTTTAGACATGTTCTGTTCACATTCTCCTGGTAGAGTAGTACTAAATGTTCGCGGTTGTTTGTCTAAAACAGTAGTTCTCAACCATTAAGGTCTCGCAGACCCCTTGTGGGTCGGCAGAGATGATGGAGGACCCCGTTTGTGATGAGGGGAAGGGAGAGGTAGTGGTTAATTATTATTATAATTTAATAAATGAATATAACTAAGGACTAATGTGGAAGAGACTTCTCTCATTGACATACACACGAGAAGACTCACCAGATAATCGGAACATTCCTTCGTAATCTGAAAAAAATACAACTTTTATTGCCGGGTTTGAGTGATTAGGCAGGGCTTCGCGGACCCCTAGAATGCCTTCGTGGACCCCAAAGGGTCCGCGGACTCCCATTTGAGAACCACTGGTCTAAAAGATTAAAATCACGGAAAGTTCTCGTCATTGATCGAGTTCTTTTTCGTCAAGTTTTGCAGGGGCGTAGATATGGCTCGTTGCAATGTCCGTGTCTAACGCGTGGGCCCGTCTCTGACCGAATAATGGTGAAACACTAATCGTCAATTAATGCATATTGATAGATATTCGAATATTTTGGCGGCCCTACAAAATATGTAAAATCACCCCACTCTCTGATGAGGCCGCATCCCCTGTAAGGCCGACATGAATCACCTTGGGTAACTACTGTGGTGTTCAAGGCATAGGCTGCGTTAGTGCTCACGCTTTGCTGCTGACGTGAGAGGCTGAAACTTCCAATGTCGAATTCTTTCTTCCATCACTGTTTGTCTCTTTTATCTTTACGCATGCAGCACTGTCGTCAGGCAACAACTAGTCTCGTCTCGTTAATAGTACCTCCGCACCCCGAAAACTTGTCCAAAATACCCAGACACAAATGCACGTATTTACACAATTCGTCCCCCCAAAACATTATCTATAAAGCGGGGTATTCAAATTAACCGGGCCCATATTACCATGGCACGACTGTATCTACACTCCTAGACTTTCTTCTCTTCCCGACCACACATTTACTAAGGGCCAGTGTGCAATGTCAACATTTAAAGTCACCAATAAGAAATCCAATGATTGCTTGATTTTACATCTCACATATCCATTAGTGATGGACAAAATCTCCGAGAGGAAGGAGACATCTTCGATATGAAGTGTGGTGTTCTCCTCCTTCTACGGCATGTCACATTCTAGTAGATGGAGAGTCCTTCACGCGCGCGCACACACAAACACACACAGTCTTTCCCAGTTCGTATGGTCTAATAGCAGTTCGGAGGTAGGGTTCCATGATGCAACTGATCTGGAAGATGGAAGACTACAGCGATGATATCCGATGTCGGGTAAGCAGGGGCTCGTGTTTGACTGCAGGAGTGGAGGTTCGCAGCGTAGAGTCCGTCAGAGGGGCACGGCTAGGTATCCTCTGCGGGTTTTCGCCTTACAGCAGACCAGGATTGACAGCGTCAGGGTCACCAACTGCGGTGGAATGAAGTATGCAAGAATTACTGCGTGGACGGTATCATCGTTTCGCCGTTTATGGCGTGTCCGTTGGCTGTTTTGCCGTTGGGTTACTATCTGCCTAGATCAATACACGAGAGATTCGCCAGTGATATGGTACGTGCGACCGATTGAGGGTCCAAGGCACCCAATTCTTAGCGGGACAATCTATGCGTTTCACATGGTTAGATTTAGTTCGATGAACTTTTTGCAACGGTGGATCAAGTAGAAAATACGTATTTTGGTTAATAAAGCCTCACAAAGCTATTTTTCTAGCATTTTCTCTATAAATCATTGCCAATGTCTGCGGTTATGACGCTGAAAATGTAGGCATACACAACACAAATAAATTACAAACAAAAGCTGCACATACGTGTGCCTGGGTATGGACTAAGCACTTTGTCGATTGTGACTCATCAAGGCACCGTGTTTTTGCACTATGCTTCGTTCACCCCTAAGCTGACGGAACGATGGAACCTGCGCACCCGTTGACCAGTCATACGTGTATCTTTCGCCACGTGATCATGCTCCCACCTACATACACGCGTAGAGAGCGGGTCAGGTGATGAAAGGGGGCATTTGATTGGTCCGGCGAACGCGTAGCTTCCGCCGGGCTGTCAGCTTAGGGGTGAACGGTGTATAGTTGGACCCGGACATTACGAGACGACTGCGGAATATAAAGACCATTCTCACGTAAGTCCAGCCACTGTATACACTTTAAAGCCTCGCATGCGCGACTTTCGCCCACCTTTATGGCGTTTCTCGAACCTGTGGTTATTCTTGCGGTTTACATCGCATTTTAAGTTAATAGAAGTGTCCGCCAACACCGAAGTCCAGGTTTGTGATGTGAAATTTTTGAATCTAAGAAATGTGAGTCCTTTAAAGATACATGGAAAAATTTTCAAATTTTATGGACTGAATACGACGAGCCAAGAAGTGGAGACGATATGGAATCGGATGTTCTTTTAAGGCTGTAAGCCTTCATAAAACATTCGACATAACAAGGCTGTAAGCCTTGTTCGATCACGGAAGCTTGGGTGGTGAAATTGTAAAATAAATTCTTCAATGCTTACGGTTTACAATTTCTAATTTTGACCTCGCAGTAAGGAAATCATTACATCACGACATTCTTACAGGAAGCTCGAGCAAATATATGAGCATGCGTTTTTAGTTCGGCCCCCACAAAAGCAGATTTGGAAACCATTATTGACACCGCCTCAAAACGAAAGTTTTTTTTTTATTTATTTTTGTTGCTATTTAATTTACCAAAGTTATCCGTTTGTGTTATTTTTTGTTTGTTTATAAGTTAATTTTTAAATTCGTTTGCAGCCTTTTTTTGTTTTGCGTGCTGCCGCAAATCCCCTCGTTTGCGGCTAGCCTGCGACTCACGAGGACGAACAGAGCCAGGGATTGGACCAGAATACTCCAGTGTCGGCGGCTCTCGACGTCGAAGCCCTTGGTGCAAACCTGAAAGCGGAAAGAGCACATAAATTCTATCACCTTAAGCGCATAAACGCACTGTCAGAAAGAAGGAAAGGATTCCGGTCACACGACTACAACGCGTACAATCGAATTATTCATTATCTAGTCTGAAAAGTAAATAGAATCGCGTTAAAGGTAGCAGTTGTATTTGGGATTACTGAACGGTATGTGTTAGTGAAAGGTTATTTTGCTTGTTTTTACCGACGAAGTTAAATTTTGGATCTTCGAAATTCAGTCGTTGAACTTTGTCGTTTCTGAAGTTCTTTTAGTTCAGTTTTATGCATAAATGTCAACAACGATTATAATAGGTATAGGGCGCGATGATACTCTTGAAGAAAACAATAAATGTGAAATGTGAAACAAATTGAGAGTAGTGAGAGTGCCGCAAGCATGTATGTAATTCTCACATCGCTTTCTTGATCCCAAATCTAGCCAAAGTGTCTCGTCATTGTTGAACTCGGAGAGAAATGAAATGATTTCATTATACGAATAAACTACTTGCAGTACATAGCAGACGGGAATTCTGACATTCTAGTCCCTTTGTAAATGCCGACAACCGAGACCTTTCTTAGGAACTCACCCGCTCCCTGATGCACGAATTCAGTTGGAGAGCCAAGTAGACCACGTGTGCTGCGGTGCACGAGCAAAGCAGCACCAAGTACTGCGTCAATAAAGAACATGTTAGCTTCAGGATATTTAATCAAACTGACTGGGCGACGGTGCTGTTCATAAGCTTACTCGAGCATTAAGGTAACCGTGGACCAGCCAGCACTTGGGAAACAATTGAAAAAGTACGACCTCATCATTGCACCGAACGCTGTTTTATTATTTTGATAACTATAGAAGATTATTATGTTCCATATTCAGTTCAGTCATCGTTTCACAAGTATAGAAATATATATTTTTGTCTTCTTTTTTTGTCATTGATAGAACGACAGGAGCTGAAAGAAAAGAGCTGTAGGAACAGTTGGAAAGATTTCTAATACCCCAAAAATCTCGGCAACAGCGGCAATATATGTACAAGTTACAGGCAGCACACCTGCACAAGAAATTGGAAATACGCGACAGCGTTATGGAGTTCGTGTCACAGAAAATCCGGCGTCGGTGGCGTGACGCTAAAATCCTGATTGGTTGATGGGGTCATGACGTCACAGATACATGACATCGCGCGGGAATATCAAGCGACCGACAACGCTCACGTGAAGCGTGACGTCACGTTGAAATGAATGTGAATAAAACATTACATATAGTGCGAATCAAAGGTCGCCACTTGTCTCAAATGTTTCGCTTCATAAAGTATTTCATTTGTCTAACAAACACTTTGAGGAATTTCAGGCGGGATTCAAACCCCGGTTGCGAGCCGGACACGCTACTGACTAGACCACGCAAAATACGCTTGTCGCCTTTCACTCTTAAAGGCGAAGCTTAAGCGTCCTCCGAGGTTTTTTTTTTTTTTTTTCGTCTGCCAATGTTTGCGTTTTTTTTTTTGAAGGTTGTCGCTACTTTTATCGCTATTCCCGATCAAACATCTAGAGATACAAGAATAGCTCAACATTTTTGGTCACGCCTGCTTTGTATGTTTGCGTTGAAAGCGATGTTAAAAAAACGATTCAGGTGTGTTTATGTTTATACAGCCTAGAACTTAGTCTGCCTCAACGGGCGACTTGTCTCCCAGCTGTGTATGAGAAATTTAGCCAGTCCAGTACAACCGCTCGCCTGTGGTCATTAACGTTCACCGCGCAATAGTGATACACGACCGCACGCCGCTACGATGCTCATCCAGATCCAAACGGGCAGGGGTGTGAGGCATTGTTCAAATGCAACGGGCTTGCGCTTGTTGCTGCTTCTCGGGAGGGAACCCTTCTTTCGATCTGACATTACGTTACGCGCCTTTGCAATACACCCTTTTCAAAAGTACCCGCCATCCAGTAGCTTATTCACCAATCATCCGAGCCGGCCGTGTTGCTTGATCACGTACTTCCGAGTATGTATTGGACACGAGGGCTGCGACAGGGTTCGGCGTGAACTCTGATAGAATCGCATGCCTCGCGCCCAATGGATGAATGGATGCTAATGGCTGTACTTTTATAACGGGCGGTAGCTTGCGCCACCTAGCCTAGAAAATTAAAAACCAAAAGTATCAATAATGGCCGCCGCCAATGTTGCTCGATGAATTGATAGAAAGGTTCTATTGTGCAATAAATGAATCGTACTTCACGGAGGGCCCAACGCAAGAACACCTTAGACTATGGCTGCTCCTGTTCCTTTGCACGTTACGATATACAAAGGCAAATGATGTAGGTCTTGCGAAAGACTACTCTTACCAACCAGAGGGGGCACTAATTAAATTAATGTAATGTATTCGCAGTAATTTATTACTTATGATAGTAATGAGTAAATTAATTGATTACTCTCCGCGAAGGTAATTTAGCAATTATAATACATTTTCCGGGGAATAATTTTGATTAAATTCCCGAATTACTATTTTAACTTCAGGTAAATTTTGTGCACCTGCATAAATAAAAGGCAACTTCATTTTTACAGAAAATGCATCTTCGAAAACATTGTAAATTAGGAAAACAAAATATGATTCAAGGAGGAATATTCCTTGAAGATGACAAAAGTACTAAGTTGTTGGAAGCTTCCAATAATTACAATAACTAAAACGCAGCACTCACACATACAAAAATGTACTCTACTTAAAAAAAAAAAAAAAGACTGATGAAATTGATTGGAGAGGGGAGGTTGCAGAGACCGTCTTTTTTGTTCCCGAGACCACTATCAAGCTTCTTTCTTGAAGGAATTCCTTGCATGAGCTTTGTCATTGCACATTTGTAAACACAAGTTACGATCTAGCCAGTAATTCAGATGCACTAATGGAACCAGCAAAGCAAGTCAACATCGTTGCTTGGGTAAAGGTTCCACAGAATTGAAGAGGCTTTAGTAGAAATTAGCACTGGTTCTCGAAAGTGTTATACTTCAGATACAACGAACATACTACGCATTCTCTTCACTGGTCAGGATATACTGTTCAAGAAACTATAAAGTGAGTGCGGGATGGGAGTTCACCAAATATTTCACTGCTCTAGCGAGATTAAACGTAATTTGAAAGTTAAGCCATTCGTTTCTTAAGCCATTTGTAATTGTAATAATCACTTTTACGCCGTGGTAATATTTAATGTAATTTCATTACGTTTCAGTAGTAATACGCTAAGTCACCATCATCACCATTTATTTTACTTGAGGACCCGCAAGCTGAATGTAGGAATTAGCTATGTAATTTAATTACAAAACGAAAGTAATTTGGTGAGCTCTGCAACCAACCACCTAGCCAGCTGTTGCTTAGACACTCCTGCGTTAATAACAAAAATTATAATAGGTGGAAAGAAAAGGAAAAACAACACGTAAAGACATTTTGCCTTTTTTTTTACTAGCTTTCAAGATGTCTTTGAATTTTTTGAAACAAGTTTGTGCAGTGAAGTGAAAGAACATGGACATTGAAACCAGAACACAAGCTATGCACTTTGAATTGTATCCGGGCAATATCAAGTCACAGTCCAAGTAAATCAACGCCGAGCCTGCGTGAGAGTTTTAGAACGCGCCCAACAAGTCTTCAGTGCTTCATCCAGTGACATCCGATTGTCCGTTGTTCCGGCACGCGGCTAAATCGGCTTGCCATGAAGTGAAAAAAAAACACAAAAACTGTTTGTCTTTTTGCTAAATTCCAAAACCGCTCTATAAACGACGTTATGTTATGTCACGTTATGTGATTATCAGGAAAGAACATGGTGATGTGACCTTGAGCCGGGGTTATACGTCGTACAAAAGACAGTCTGCGCAGAGATTCGAACGCGAGTCACCGCGAGATCCCTGCCTCGAATGCCGCGTGGCAATGAGTTCGAGGAGAAAACTTGGCACGGGGCATTCGAACCACGGATATTGCTGTGACTCGTGTCTGCATACTGTACTTTGTACGATGTATGAATGGTGTGACCCCGGCTGCCTCTAATTCGTCACGGAAACCCCGTGCATCCTGGATGCGACCTTTTGTATGCTGTGTGATACGTACTAGGCTGAGGACGCCGTACAGGTAGCGGCAGGCTCCCCACAGACCCACAGTGGCCGTCAGGAGGAGGCAGGACCCGGAGCCGATGTAGAAGGCGCAGATCTCTTCGCGCGAACGCCCGCTGTCATCGTTGAGGAGCCATTGGACCAGGTCCGGTCTGACGAACGCCGTCACGCCAGCCGCAAGTAAACACGCACCCATCAACTTGAAGAGAGAGAGAGAGAAAAATAAAATAAAAAGAAAGACATACCACGGTTCTTAGGCGTATTACTTCAGGTGTGGAAACTTCGACGTTTTCCGGCCTAGAAATGTTTACCGCTACAAGAGTCACTGATTGCAGCACGTTGGAAAAGAACATTTTAAAAATCAAAATCATTGCAATATCTTTCTTTTTTTTCTGTTTTATACTTGAACTAGATGCATGTTTGGGATACACGGGGTTAACCCTTCTGGACAAGCTATTTATCGTCTCTGAATTCGTAACATTTATTGATAAAACGGCGAATAAAGATGATGCCAAAACTAATGTTCAAATTTCCTCGCGTTTTCTGGTATTTAACTTCATATGTTATAAGACTTGCATGTTCGACAAGGCAGTCTAATAAACACAATACATAGCCCCCCCCCCCCTTTTTTTTTTGTTCTGTTAGAGTGAGTTCTCCCTGCATTCATTTCTCGCTATCGTACGTCTTGTATTCCATTAAGAACAGATTGTATTGCCCAAATTACAACATCTATCATCGCGTTTTTAGTGTTGCCAGTAGTGTTCTTCAGTTCATAAAGAATGGTGAGAACAAAGTCTGAAAATTTAAGTTCTCCAGAAACAAATATTTTAACATATAATTAATTTCTTTACTGTTTATCGGTCCGTTAATTCAACATTGAGGCAAATCAGCGTTCTTCAAAATTCCGCCGGAACTCCCATTTAGAGCACTTCTGAATATTTCGTGATTTATCTAAAATAGTTGGAACACATGTTGCTTGCGAGTTTAGGTAAAACGCCTTTAGGTACCGCTAAATTCCGCGTTGCTAATCAACGCCGTCTTGGTCGACTGAAAACTATTACGTTCATCAGAATTTCTAGTGACTGAATGGGAATGGTATAATTAACAAAACGCAAAAGTAAGCACGACCTGTAATCATTTCTAAACATATTCGCCCGATAACTTAAATACTTTTCTGAGAACGGTAAGAGGTTCGTGAAGTGGTAAAGAAACAAATCCACTCTCTGCTTCCTCAGCCAGTTTTCGACAGCCATATCACGTCTTCTTTGAATGCATACAGTTACTGATGTCCACGACGGTCTTCGCTAAGTTTCGGGAAAGGGTCGAAGTTATGTGGAGCCAAGTTTGAACTGTATGGTAGACACCCTTGTGTGGTCAGACTCTCCCTCAATTGTCTAGCTGGGGGCACGCAAAGCATGTGGCCTGGCATTATCAAGTTGCAAAAAAAAAAAAAAAGTAAAAAAAAGAGGTCCTATATTTTTTTTAAAAATACTTCTTAATAACTGTTTTAATGTCGGTAGCGTCAACAAGTAACGTTCGGAGTTGATTGGTGTTCTTTGTTTTAACAACGGCGGAAATAGCACCATCAACACCCCCCCCCCCCCACACACAAAAAAAAAAAAAAACAATCATTGTTTGCATTTGCAATACGTTTTAGCTGATGCCCGTGGTTTGGCCGCGGCCCCCTTCCCGTAGCGTATGCGGTAAATAGGGCTACTGGTTGTGGAGTTTTTTCATCAGTCAGATTTGCTCTATGTAACAAATTTGAAATCTTGTAGATAAAGTATCATAAAATAACTATACAAATCACAGATAATCTAACTCCTTCTAAAGAACTTCCAGAATAGTTCCTGGTGTATAAAAAAAGATAAGCAGTCTCAGTAACGTTAATTTAGCCGTTTCTAAAGAACCGTCAAGGTTGTTTTCAGTCGAATTTCTGACGTATTGCACAACTTCATATTTTTTGTATGAGACTGTTAGGTTATAATATTTTTTTTAAGATAAACCTTGTTGGTCGCAGAAATGGAGCTATCACAAATATTCTTGTTTTCAGACAAAAAAATCTTTAAGACTCTTGACAACTTTGGCCGAATTCAAATAAAGTGACCACTTTACTCGACGCGGGTTAGTGCTGCCATCTGTTGAGCACCTAGAAAAGTGCAGCCATCACTTTACATTAAACCGATAGAGTTATTATTATGTACGTGAGAGCCACGCGACTTGTGGTTTCCAATTGAAGCAGTCAGCAGCCAGCCTAGTTTTGCGGTGCGCTGGGCATTACTCTGGGAAAACTCTCATATGTTTTCTCTGTTCGCGGGAGAATAAGAGGAATCATCTTCGATACTTTCGCTACGACGCTTAGTAACTCGGGTCTTAGCGAACAGTATTCTTGCTCATTAAATAATTTCATTTTGTGTTTTTCTTATTGCATATTTTATTTTAGAATATTTTAGCAGAGAAGTAATCGCAATTGTAAGATCAGCAGTGTCTGTAATTGTGACAGTGACTGCAGAAAGGCTATTTCAAGCAATAGAGGTTTGAGCCAAGAAATATGTATTCAAAATCGATGTTCTGCAACGGCGGATAGCAAGTTTTAGTTGATGATGAGCGTTGCGTGATGCTATGTAAGATAGTTCTGAAAATAGCGCTTGAAATTTTTTTTTTGTTAGAGTGATAAATAAACTTTACGCTTATTACTGTAACCAGCACTTCGCAATAACTAAAGCAAGTACACAAAACAGTGTTACTAAGTTACGATATTTTTTTTATCAGTGAGTGATGTTTAACTTCGCATTATTTCAGGCCCCAAACTAATGTTCAAGAGCAGTTGTGTAAAGACGAGATACAATTCTAAACAACAAAGTACAAAAGGTTTTTTCTTAAAGCTATGCCAACCGTCTGATGAAAGTAATATTGCTAACCTGCCGAATGTATGTCATTGAAAATAAACCTTTCTTGCAGGTTTACCAGCGGTTAACATCCGGAAAATAGGGGGGGGAAAGGTACATAGACTATGTATGAAATGTGTTTCTTTTTTTAACGTGAGAGCTTTATTGGCGACACTTTTTGCAGAGACGTCGTTCTCGACAGCTGTCGTTGCCGTGGGCGCGAAGAATGGAAAATCTATTTTTCCTCTCCCTTCTGGGCGCGAAGAGCGGGAAGTCGGGACTTTCCGTCGGCCGTGCCGCGCGAAGAGAGCGAAGAGGGCAGCCCTGGCGTCCCGCCAAGAATAGCACGACGAAGGGAGAATCTTCCGTGTCGTCTGCTTCAAAAACTTGTTTTCAAACATTACTCGCGTTATGCGAACTCCCACTTTGGCAGTATCCATGCAGTTGCTCCGCGTAATGTTTGATTGTTTTAGAAACCCTCCCTTCACCGGGCTTACTCACTTATTTCAGGGGTCACCGAGCACTCGTGGCGGTCGTCAGTGGCCTCCACGACGCCAACCACGACGGCTCTGAGAATTAACCACGTCGCACTTCCGTCCTCAGGGACGTCACGGCACCATTCCCCCCGCGTTGCGCGACCGTGAAACAGCCATCGCTTTCGTTTCTTCGCACATTGTGGGCGCAAAATACGACTATTTGTTTTTAATTATTTTATAAACCTGACCTTTTTTATCGGACACCAAGTGTTTTATGGTCTTGCTATATTTTCAAAGATTTCGAGCATGTGGACATGTACTGGACGATAGAACACAACGGCATTCGTGCCTCTGCACAGGAAGAAAAAGAAACGTATTTCTTTCTTGGAAATTTCACTAATTACTTTGATTTCACTTTATTTTTTGCGTAAATGCCCCTAAATCTAATCAAATCTTTAAAAAAATTGCGGATAACTTTTGTATTGGATAACTGTAAAGTCGGAATCTTTCGCGTCTGTTCCGCGCCGCTAGCACTACATTTTAGCCTGAGACTAAGAGCACGACGACGCGTAATTTATTTTCGCAATAAAAAAAAAAAAAAAAAAAAAAAATTCCGAAAAATTAAAAACGTGATTTTTTATTTTTATAAAAACAACTAATTATTGCTTGACGATTAGTGTTCTTTTACATATAACTACAGTGGTCGGTCCGGTCTAGATGCCAAAATTTCAAAACTAACGTTATTTTTTGTAGACGTTCATACACATAGCTTGCCCGTGATGTCATTCGCGACCATGCCGGTATTTTATGTGCCGTGAGAGTTCAGTTCACCGTGTTAGTCTCCCACCGTCGAAGTAAGCTTGAGACAACTAGTGAGTGGAAAGAACCGTTAGTACCCAGGAATACCGACATCTGTAAATCATGTATTAGCAGCAACAGCGCGTTATAAACAAAAACAAAATGAGGTGAATCCTGGAAGTACAAACACAGCGCTGACTAGCAACTCACGCGTCTTCTACTTTTTTTTCTAAAAAGAAGGACCACGTTATAAAGAAGACAAAAAACATTCTAGAAATTTCGCTCATTGATTTCGCTGACTACTTCGCCAAGTAGCATAGTAGTATCTCTGTACAGTATCTTTGGTCGTCTAGGGATTCACTCTAGAAACTGTGTTTGCGATCTCAAGTTCACAAAATGCACGGTGTTAGCCCGGAATCACGTTCCCATAGTTATAGAGAAATAATTGAGGCCGAAAAGGTCGTGCGACTCCATAAAAACTGTGTCGGCGCCCCTTCCGTTTCTTTATCTGCCAAAGAGCTATATTACTTGGCGAAGTATAGTCAGTGTGATAAAGAAATATTTCCAGTGTTTGTGTGTGTGTGTTTTTTTTTTACCAAGAAAAAGTAGACGAAACGCTTTTTTCTCCAAAGTAGAAGAAGCACAAGTTTTTAGTCAGCGCTGTGTTAGTCTTTCTGTGTGTTATATCCTTTTGTTCTCCTTTACAATGACCTGTTGCTACTAATACGAACTCTTACTACTAACTCGTCCAAGCATCCATCCTAACGATTTTCGGTGACCTAATGGAGTCAGATGAATGGCGTCGGCTACCGTGAGTGCCACACTTTCTCGTCGAAAATTTGAGGAAATTCTTTAAAACTTTTAAATGAGATAATGCTTAGTTCCGAAACTTTGGCAGCTGGCTGTGATCACTAGCGCTAAATTTCGGTTTAGACTGAGCTTTTGGCGGTGCGTAGGTTATTTTTGTGATGTCACAAAGCAACAACACCAACAGTGGAAGGGTATTTTTTTTTCTCTGTGACACCCTGTATATCACGGGATAATTAAGAGCGATCACGGAAAGTGACGTGGTACAGGCCTTACCCAGAGTGCGATGTTTGTGACAAGCAGGAGACATCTTGTAATGGATGCCATCAAGTCGGTTCGGTGCTCTTGGCGGTCGCAGCATGGGAACCCGACGGCGACTGTATCCGGCGCCTAAAGCCGCGCAAGCCTGTCGGACTGCAGGGTAGCTCTTGCCTCTTTGACGGAAACGACTTGTGACCGTATACCGAGAACACGCACGTTGTTCCGTAGTCGACTCAGCACCCGCCCGTAATCGGGAGCGCTTATCTCGAACGAAACGTTCTTAGCTCGCCCTATCAGTTTCATTCCCGGCGATTGCTTCGTGCGCCGCGGTATCTTCTCTTTCTTAGACGTTATCCGATGCGTCAAGGCGCCGCGTGGAGACGGCATTGACAACTCCAGCAGCGTGCGTTTAATGGCGCCTTTTGTGGAGTTCACCGGTGCGTATACAGATCTGTGCGCACCGGACTGCTATCGGGTCCTCTATTATTGCGCGCCACCCGGGCAACGACACTGAACGTCTTTTATTCGGTTTCGAAAACCACACGCTCACGCGCCCTTCCCTTGCAGTGTTGGAGTCAACCTACAAGGAAGATTCTCACACCCGTGCCATTGCTAGCGCTGTACACAACTTGTGGAAATATATAATCATATACGTTGGATTCTTTTTTTTTTCTTTCTTTTTTTAAGGGGACAGACCCCCTGGCAGAGTCAACTTTCGAACCCTTCGGTTAAAATTAATGAAATTTACAGGGTAGGCTGGTGGTCATGCTAAAGGGTGCATAACAAAATTTCAGGTATGTCGGTTAAGAGGGAAGGAAATTAGAGCAGCTTCTATCAACAACACGCCTACATTGTTTGGTTAATCTATCGTCGGGAAACGATCACAGTATTTAAGATTTTTATTCGCTAGATATGTAGCAGAATGCCTAGGGGATGAGGCAATGAAAAGCTTTTTGTAATAAGTCATTTATTTATATAAATTTTCTCTTTTGCAAAATTGGTCAACTTTTTGGTATTTTGTGTCTTCGACAAAATGTCAACATTTTTTATAGAAGGCATTCCTAAAGTGAGAAAAAATTTCATAGTCACATTCCTTATTAAATTTCAGTCAGGAAAAGGGAAGAGCGAGCCTTCCCTGGGTATTGCCATTGTCAAACGATAGATTGACTAAAATTTAATTTATACCAAAAAGAGGAACGAAAAAAAAAAATGCGTTCAAAGTGCTCCAAACGCTACCTTTTCTTTAGCTTTGGTGGACAAAACAAAGTTAATAAAAAATTAACTATACAGTGTAAAGTAATGAAACGTTCTGGGGATACTATCTAGATGTTGGTGGATGTAAATATGTCTTTTCTCAAACACAACCTTTTTTTGCAGGGGAGCTGTTTTCGGAGTAATTTGTTGAAAACCATCGAATCCGAGTTTCTTAAAAAGGAGAAACTTGCAAAAACCCTGCCATAACATATCGATGTTTTTTTGTTTTTTTTCTTAATCCTTCCAGTTGTAGCAAGCGTGGAGGAGAAAATTCCCGTAATAATGAACCCTAATCGAACCTAAAGGTGACTGATATCTGCGCAAACGTCTGCATAATAGGATTTCGCCATATGAGTCCCCACTCACAGTAAAGTTGTACATCGAAAACGTCTAGTCAGTTACCCCATTCGCTATTCCATATAGAATATGCATTTGTCGACTACCATTAGACGTGTTCGAAGCTCGGAATAACACACGCCAACAGCTGATAATTGAAAACAAATTTATTATTGTTCCGCGCGGTTTAGAGGAATTATGAAGTAGCCTGTCCGTTCGAATTCAAGAAGCCAACACTTTTATTTACCTCGAGGTTATGTACGAAGCATGCAGGAGAATAAATTGTTTGCCTTCAAAGGCCGGTTCACACATGCCGCGAAGCGCTCATGTAGCACTGCTCACGTGTCGTCAGCTACTTATCGTCTGCCATGAGCAACAGTTTTGACGGTGCGATACAAAGCTGGTGAACGCTCCCGTCGGCACGCGCTTAGCGCGAGGTCAGCGCTGTGCTCGGAGCGTTCCGCTGCATGTGTGAACCAGAGCCTTTTATACAGTATAAAAGGCTCTGGTGTGAACAGGCCTTTACGGTTCACTCGCATTGGAGAGGTTTCTCTTGTTTAGTGAATGCTTCGTTTCCAATCATCTAGGTATGAGTTAGTTCATAGGTCCACATTGCGCCGAACAGCAGGTATTTTTCGTCTTTGGGTATTTTTGTTCCAAAACAACTCTGGAGAAAGAGAAAGAGAGATAGTAAGAAGGTAAATGTAAAGAAGTAACTGTATGAGTAGCAACGTAATTCGGTGATAGAACATAGAACATTAAGTGGCAATGCAAATCTGCGAAAGCTATTTACTGCAGGACGTTTTGTAACCTATACAGCGTGTTCCGGAAAACAATTTACTTTTTTTTTTTCTAAGCAAAAACGCACTATGCATCGCCAAAGGCTCAGTCTCCGCTCAAAAGCAGCGCTAGCGTACCGGATCAGATGCGAAACTTTCAAGAATCGATCCTTATCTTATTCAAAATGTATAATTGATTTTTCTGAAACTTTCAATGGGAAAGTAAGGCCAATTCACGGTAGACGACGTCATTCATCTTCATGTACTTCTGGGCTTTCTCGGCTCCTATATTTTCTTCGTGAAAATATTCAAAAATCGCTGATGACTTTCGAAGAAGGTAACGCTTAAGTTCTGAAACTTTCGCATCTGGTCTGGAGTGTTGGGCGATGCCTATTTTGTTTTAATAAAAAACAAAACACTTTTTTGTGTTCATTTTGCACGTTATATATCTATTCTGGGAAAAGCAAGAACTCATCCTTACTCGAAAAGTCCTCAACAAGGACACGGCAGTAACATTTTGTTTCTCCTTCATCTCCTGCAACAGAAAAATGGGCTGTCAACAAAATGGGAAAAGCAAACATTCCCCCTATTTTATGTCTAGTGTATGCTTACATAAATGCGTTGACGCGCTCATTGGAATTTACGACTTCGAAGCATATATTTCAATTCTACATATTTCGGGAGTTGAGATCGATTTTGTTTGTATTTGGGACTAACGCTGACCGATCGTGTTTTGTTGTATTTTTTCTCTTAAATGCATTTATTTACTATAGTATCTGGCAGCTTATAGATGCGGCGCAAGGATTTTCTACTTTACGTAAATATCACGAAGAAGGAACCCTTGACTTTTCTAACCCAGGAAACACGAGTCAATTTTTATCCTCGTACAAACGGTAGTCGCCAAAAATTAAAGAAAAACGAGCAGCGTTTTCCACCTCGACGGGCAGCCAAAACAAGCGGCCACGTAATCCGGAGTCGATTATATGCCGCCAGTGTTTATCATATAGTCACGCGCTGGGGTTTGCAAAACACGGGACACGCGCCGAGTTCCAGACATTGTCGGCAGTTCGGCCATCGTCGTCATCACAGCGATTTTAGACACCAGGAGCCACTAGCCGAATGCATGTCGAGCCATTGGATTATCGCGAGCCCAAATCGAGTGTTCACGCAATCAGTGCTGGGGCCCAATCCATGTGCCGCATTCAAATATCGTCACCGGGGGGAACTATACCAACACTGCGACCTCCAAACTGGACGTCATCACGTTTTGCGAAAGACAAATCGAAAGAAAACGCTCGCTTTCATTCTTGAGATAACACCTGAACAAAACAAAAAAAAGGTTTATTTTCGGCCAATGGCGTTGCGTGCGAGTACACTATTGGGTTTAACTGGTTTCCAGAAGCTTGTTCAAGGTGAAAAACCATGCCAAGTGAATATTGTTGCACGGCCCCTTTAAGAAACGTGCTGCGTGATTGGTTCTTCGGCCCCTTTAATGGCTACTGCTGCAATCTGATTGGTTGTAGAGCGATAATTAGATGCACGGATTCGCCACGCCCTCTTAAAGGGATACTTTATCAAAATTTGAAATATATTCGTCGTGTTCAAAAATAGGTTGAATATGATCCACAATATCCGTAAATGACAATCGCACGTTTGTATTTTGAGCCTGGTGGCTGCATTTTTTGTAATAAACGGCCCACTCTAGCAAGCGCTCGGAGAAGGCCCAGCGAAGACCACGTGATATCCGACGCAATCGTGACGTAGGTCGTCTCGGGACGAGCAAAGCTACGGCGAGGCAGACGTCGAGGGGATGGCCTAGTCGTTCCAGCCACCGAAGCGGCTGCTTTTGTACGAATTTTGAGTGACAGGTTAATCTTCTATAATCTTGTAGGGGGACAATAGCTACTTTTGGAACACACAAAAGGGATTCTCGGGAAGATGGGAGTTCCTCCTTCCCCTCTTTTCTCGTCGTGACCGGAGGCGAGACAAGCATCGTCACTACCTGTCAACGTTCCTAGACGGGCATTACAAACGAGGCGTTAGCGACATCCACCAGGTGCTCTTTGCTAATCGTTTAATTCGTTTTAAAATTCCTTTTCGTGACTTTTTAACAAGATATTGGTGTGTTCGATGTGATACTGGTCCTTTGAACACATATAGACCATAAAATAAGCGCCGAAATTTCGTTGTAGTATCCCTTTAAGCTGATGGCGACCACATGGGTCTTGGCACAATTACAGTTCTTAAAGGGGCACTTACACATCAAAATCATATTTTTTTTTATTATCCGAAACGATTGAAAACGATGCCGGGACATTACCCTCAAAATTTGAAATTTGGGAATTCAGTATTTGTGAAGTAAAAAAACAATTTCCAAATGCCGAATTCGAAGTTCCCGCGCGGTCGGCGCCGGTGCCTTGACGTCAAAAATTGCGGAGACCTGAGAGTCGACTTTCTTTCACCACTCCCTGCTGTTGCCATGGCGACCCAAAGCGAGGAGGAAAGGAGTGCGCGGCGGCGTTGCGGCGGACCGGTTTTGAGCGGTGTCGCCTGTTTTCCGTTGGAGGATACAAATCCAGGAGACGGCACCACAACGAACTCCCGATTTTTGGTATTTCAAAAAGAAGGGCCGTAGTGCGTTCGCAATTGCGTTAAAAAACATGTTTTAGGATTGCCGTAATTAAATGTTATAGAGATGTCGCCTACAAAGCTTCTAAATTTTCTGATTTTTGACGTCACCGATCAAAAGAAGCGAGGAGGCGAGGGCGGGAAAATCAAACGCCAAAAATAAAAAGGCGCGCGCGCGCGCGGGAAAATTTTT